GGTGGATTGTGCGTGGTGGTGTCTGCCCTGCCCTGAGCATACAGCTAACTGTGTGTGTGTGTGTGTGTGTGTGTGTCTGTCTCTTTCCATACCGGGGGATTGCACTCTTAAAATACACCCGATACAATGCACCAGCCTGACTCAGCCGCAGACATTAGTGCTAGGAAGATGGCGCACCCGGCGATGTTTCCTAGAAGGGGCAGCAGCAGTAGCAGCGGCAGCAGCTGCGTTACTGCTCCCACTGCACCAGGTACCGGCGTTGGGAGCGCTGCCCTCTCCGCCGAGGATTATCAGCCGCCTTTGCTGGTCCAGCCGCCGCCTCCATCTCCTGCAGCAGCTTCAACAGCGGGTCCACAGCCGACACCCCCTCATCCACAAAGCCTGAACCTCCTCTCGCAGTCTCAGCTCCAGCCACAGCCCCTTGCACAGACTGGAGCTCAAATGAAAAAGAAAAGTGGCTTTCAAATTACTAGTGTGACCCCTGCCCAAATATCAGCTAGTATGAGCTCTAATAACAGCATAGCCGAGGATACAGAGAGCTACGATGACCTGGATGAGTCTCACACTGAAGACCTGTCATCTTCAGAAATCTTGGATGTGTCGTTATCCAGAGCCACTGACTTGGGAGAACCTGAGAGGAGTTCTTCTGAAGAAACTCTAAATAACTTCCAAGAGGCAGAGACTCCTGGGGCTGTTTCTCCAAACCAGCCTCATCTTCCTCAGCAGCATGCTCCTCTGTCTCATCACCCACAGCAGAGTGTTGTGATCAATGGAAGTGTTCATCCCCATCATGTTCATCATCACCACCATCTTCACCACCACCATCATGGACACCATCATCCATCGCATCCTGGGGTGGGTAGTGCCCCAATTTCTGGAGGACCACCACCCAGTCCATCGTTTAGAAAACTATCAACAACTGGAAGCTCTGACAATGTTATATCAACTGCACCAGTTTCTGCTGCATCATCCACTGGTTCCCCGGCATCTGCCGTGTCTAATATCCGCACTACAAGTACTCCTGGCAATTTAGGTATAAGTCCTGCTGCTGGAGCTAGTACCTTAAGTAATATTGGTGGTGGTAGTTCTAGTGTGGCAAGCAATGTGCTTGGTACTATCAATTTAAGCAACATCATGAGTACTGGTAATGTAAATGCTTTGTCTGGAGCTAGCAGCAATGCTAATGTGAATATCTTGAGTGGTGTTGGCAATGGTACGAGTGCTTCCTCTAGTGTCATTAACAATGTTACTAATCCAACTGCAGGAGTGGCAGTGGGATCAAGCCAGCAGCAGCCTGCATCTGGCACATCAAGGTTTAGAGTTGTAAAATTAGATTCTAGTTCTGAACCTTTCAAAAAAGGTAGATGGACATGCACTGAATTCTATGATAAAGAAAACACTGTTGCAGTTTCGGAGGGAGTAGCAGTAAACAAAGCAGTAGAGACGATAAAACAAAACCCGCTTGAAGTGACTTCTGAAAGGGAGAGCACCAGTGGGAGTTCTGTTAGCAGCAATGTAAGCACACTGAGTCACTATACAGAAAGTGTGGGAAGTGGAGAAATGGGAGCACCTACTGTGGTACAGCAGCAAGCATTTCAAGGTGTGGGTCCGCAGCAGATGGATTTTAGCAGTGCTGCTCCTCCAGCAATTCCAGCATCTAGTATACCACAGAGTGTTTCTCAATCACAGCTTGCACAAGTCCAGCTGCATTCTCAAGAAGGAAACTATCCACAGCAGAAGCCAGGGGTCCAACCTCCTGCACAGGCCAGTCTAACCACTGTTACTGGGGTTCAGCCAGCCCCAGTTAATATACTAGGTGTATCCCCATCTCTGGGCCACCAGCAACCTGCTCTTCAGAGTATGGCTCAACAGCAGCTGCCGTATTCGCAGCCAGCACAGCCTGTGCAGACTTTGCCAGTGGTGCAGCAGCAGCAGTTGCAGTACGGACAACAGCAGCAGCAGCCAGTTCCTACGCAGATGGCCGCGGGTCACGTTAAGCCGGTGAACCAGAACTCTGTCACAGGGGCTATGCCAGACTACATTCAACATCAGCAGATCCTTCAGACTCCAGCCCCTGCCATGCAACCAAGTTCTACAGGAGTAGGAGCTGGGCAACCGGTTCCTGTTGCCCAGGCACAGGGCATGCAGCCTTCAGTGCAAGCACATCCAGCTGCTGCCCCAGCTCAGCCTGTTGCACATGCTCCAGCAGCAATACCAGGTGTAGCTGCCGGTGGTCAAATACTAAATGTTGGGCAGCAAGGAAGCGTATCTGCTGTGGTGCAACCACCATCTGCTACAAACCAAATTCCACCTCCAGTTATGCCATCAACGGCTGCTCCTCCATCTTCCCAAGTAGTGCAGCCTGTGCAGACAGGAATAATGCAGCAGGGATTACAGGCTAGCGCTGCAGGCCTTCCTCAACAAATGGTCATTGCTCAGCAAAACACCTTGTTACCTGTACAGCCACAGGCACAAGGAGTAGAATCTGTAGTCCAAGGGATGACTGGCCAGCAGCTGCCTGCGGTAAGCCCTATACCCTCTGCCAGTACTGTTCCTGCACCGAGTCAAGCTGGTTCAGCTGTGCCTCCTGGCATACCTTCTGCTTCTGTAGGTTTGGGACAGCCACAGAACATAGCACAGGCTTCAGCTGTGCAGAATGGCAATTTGGCTCAAAGTGTTAGTCAGCCTCCCTTGATATCAACAAGTATAGGTATGCCAGTGGCACAGAGTGTGCCGCAACAGATGCCACTAAGCTCTACCCAGTTCCCTGCACAATCACTAGCTCAGTCCATTGTAAGCCAAATCGAAGACGGTAGACGGCCTACAGAACCTTCCTTGGTGGGTTTACCTCAAGCTGCCAGCGTTGAGAGCGGTGGTGGAACATCAGCCGCTTCAGACGGCGGTAGCAGCAACATGCCATCCTCGGCGTCCCTCTTCCCGCTGAAGGTGCTGCCGTTGACAACGCCTCTTGTAGATGGTGAGGATGAGAGGTAAGACTGCCTGTAACTTTATTAAAAGATGGACTCTCTGATAGTTTGATTTGCACTAACTTGCAGGTCTTGTTACAGCCATTCTGTGAAATGAAGCAGTGTGATGTTTAGGTCTAATTAAAATGTTATTTCTCAGGTCTCAGCACATGCAGATATTGTATTAAAGAACTTAATTTTCTCCTGAAAGGGTGGGTTGTATTGATTATGGTTTGAAACTACTGTGTGCATAAATTGTGCTTAACAGTCTGTTCAGTGTATATATTCCCATTGTGTTGAGGAAGACAAGAATATTGTAGAGTGTGAAAATACTAGTGGTGATTGCAGTTTAGATTATTAATTATACAGAAATAATTAATATTTATTCTTAGGTATATATTTTTTATAGGATTAAGTCTAGACTTCATCCTGCCTTAGATTCTCTTTTTAAGAGTATTGACTTTTCTAAGGTTGAACCTGTTGTGATTCTGTGGTGTATTTAAAAATCTCTTTGACAGCCAAGAGACACTTAAGGAAAATGAGTATGGTGGGATAAGGGATGTTCACCAACATTGTTGTGGCTCTTTGAATTGAACATGGGGTACTTTTGGTCTTGATGGCTTTGCTTTAAAGCATTAATGCGTGATGAGATCCACACAGGCCTGCTGAAGGGTGGTGAACCTTTGAATCTGGTGCACCAATTCTGTGCAGTTAGAGTAAGAAAACTGCATATTTTGGTCCCATTTTCACCAGTTCAAGTACATGTATTCTCTCACCTTCACCTTTTCAAGTAAATGACCACTGCCTGGTCTTAACAGTACATGCATATGAATATTCTCATTTCTTTCACAGTGTACGCAGGGAAGTTGAGACTGTTGTGTGTGCAGGCTGAATTGATTAAAACATCAGTTTTAAAGTATGATGGTTTGATATTAATTATGTGTGGAAGTCCTCAATGTGTTGAGGACCTTTTGTGATACGGGTTTGTGAGTGGCCAGGAAGACCATTGCTTCTTCCCAAGAACTTCCTCTCTAGGAAGCTACATGAATGGGAGAAACAACTTTTAAGATAAATCTTCCCATCTTGGGAATGTGGAGCAGGACAGAAAACCCTAGAAAAACTGAGGCTAGGGTGAGGAGACAAGGCACTAAACACAAGGTGGGAAAAATGCCATAGCAATGGGAGGTGGAAGACTTTTTAAATACCTTCTTGGTGCCATAACTTAAATCAGGAGTGATACCAGTGGCTAGACTTTACTTATTTTTTTTAAATAAAATGGGTTGCTGGGAGAGGCTGGATTCTTTTCTTAACATTGAAAGTCCTAACTCTATCAGCAGTCTCTGATTATGTTGATCATAAGGTGTTGACTGCTGTAGTGTCTTTCATCACATCTTTCTAAGATGCCAGAGAACTATAATGAGTAGCAGCTTGTCTTCCAGGAGTGCTAGAAGACAAGTTCCAACACTGTTGCATTCTGATTATGTTTTTTTAGTCAATAAGTGCATGAAGGTGGTAGAAGGCAGATTGAGGTGTTAAAGCCAACAGTGTCACCATTATGCTGCTAGCATAACATTTCAGAACTGTTCTTTGGTTTTCTTTCATTTGAATTTTGTAAACCAAGACACTAATCCTTCTCTTCACAGGCCTCACTGGTGTTTGGTGGTGTTACTTGTTTGTTGTTGTTGTGTGGTTGTTGTTGTTTTTTGATTTTATTTTCTTTTATCAACCAGAAAATCCCCCTAAGCTTTCAGGGGATCCTAGCCCAATAGGAGAATCATAATCTTATCGATACTCAGTGTTTTGGAAAATGACACCTAGAATATGTCTGTACGCTGATTTTAAGAGCATATGTTAACAATTTGACATGATTGGTAGTTTTTCCAGAATGTTTAAATCCCTCAGGGTAACAATAGCCAGAAATACCTTCTTCCTCTGTTGTTTGGCTAGCCAAAGATCATATCCTTTCTTCTCCCATGCACGTTGTGTCTTTGTTCAATCTGTCATCTCCAGGTAGACTACACTTTTGTTTAGCTGCAGTTGGAAAACCATTTACATTCTTTACACAAAGCAGGATATGACTCTATTAAATGGAGACAAAAAATAATTGGGTTTTTTGGCATGGCAGTAGTGGCCAGGTCATTTTTGTGTACAATCAGACAATTTACAGCAGCACGTTTCCCTGTATATATGTATGTGACATTAAAAACCTAGTGAGATTGCTTCTGTTTCTGCTTCCAGGGGATCTCGGGGCAGGATACTTCTATTGTCATCTTCACTGGAATTCAGGGCTGGAGCTTAAAGTTTGTTACTCACTAAAGGCAGTGCAAGATATGTTGTTACTCTGCTTGTCTCCCCACTTTTCTGGCCGTGGGATCTCTCTAGTTAGTTTTTTTGCTGGTTTGTTAGATTATCCCCTTTTACAGGAGGTAAAGTGAAGTATATTGTAAAAGGATGTAAGGATTTCAGAAGCAGGTGTATTGTAAATATATGTGTTTGAAATCCCCATTTCTCTTGGTCTTACGTGCACACGCATATATCACTCAAGATTTCTATCAATACATCCCAAGTGATTCTAAACCTGGCAAAGGAAAAGGTAGGAGAAAAGGAGTGAGTGATGACATAATTGGGCCAGCGAAGTAGCTGTAAAATTCCATTTAGCGTGCCTTTGAAAAAGCATCTGACCCATGTAATACCTTGTATAGATTAACTCCCAGCTTTCCTTAAACCTGTATATAACTGCGTTTAAGGCCATGCCAGTATCTCTAAGTCTGTTCAGTTTTTAGAACACCATTTGCAGCTCTTCCTATGCCTGTTATCAGGGCATGGCCTTTTAAATATAGACAGTGTGGCGTGTATCTCCTTTGAGAACTGTAACCTTTATTTCCCCAGTATGAATGACTTATTTCAAGTCATAGTGAAGATTAGATATTAAAAATTAGATACTTGGCAGAATGCCATGTAGAAAATTAATTTTCAAATGTTAATAAATAAACAGAGAATATGAATACTACTCTCTGTACTTTTTGTATTAGAAAAATAACAATCAAACTGCCGAACAAAAAACCCAAAACCCCAACAAAATCACCAAAAAAACAGTTCTTATGACTACTCTTTCTTAAGCCTGTTGGGTATGCCATAGATGTTTGTGTGTGTGTTGGTAGATTCATCATCTCTTAATTTTTTGGTTTACAAAAATGCAGGTCAGTTTTTTGGCTGTTAAATACTTTTTTTATTCTTCTCCTTAACTTGAGCCATGGTATGGTCTCAGTGCATAGTTCTTACATAGTTTCTTGGATTTGGAGTGGTTACCTTGATTTATTTCACTACAGTTTTTAAATCTTGCTAGTTTTAGACAGAGTCTTCTGAGTTTAGTATTTCATCTTTAGAACTGTAGAACTTTTATTTTCACATGTTTGATATTTAAGCATGGAAGAACGCATGTTTATATCACAGTGAATTTTTTTGTGTACTTAGTGTTGCAAAATGAGTTTTACATATTTTTAGACAATGCTTTGTTGTACAGGCACGTATTAAGATTTTGTATGGACTTGCATAATTTTTAATTTACCTGTAAAGTGAAGACTTTAAAAGTTAATGTGTTTTACAGCATTTACAAAGGCTGCTATAAGTGAATTTAAAAATAACTTAATCTGAAATGTTGTTTGCCATTACTCAAAAGCAGATTTTGTGAATGAAGGATAAGAGAACTAACAACTGCCTCCCTGTCCTTGACATTTCCTGTAGAATTCTTTGCATTCTTTAGGCTGGTGCAAGTTTTGTTCACCTGTTTGTGCATGTCATTCAGTGAAGCTGAAGAGACAGGAGAAAAAGATGATGGATGATAAATGCAAAACAGGCATAGAGATTTAAAGCTTTTTTTTTTAATTATCTGACAATCTCATTATTTTTTAAGAGAAACTTTTATTAAAAGATCCATTTAGAAATGTTTTTTTTTGTGTAGGATGTGTGTTTTTACTTTCTGCTAAGGTTGTAGAGCAGCTGGAAGATTAAAGCTGAATATGAGAATCAAAAGACTTGTGAGCAGCCTTTGAGAAATCTCTAGCAGTAGTAACTAGTACTAGATTGTGAAGTGAAGTACAGTCAGGAAGCTGGATTAATGTTCATCATGTATGCAGTTACATAGTGGAAAGGTTGACCAGGTAGAGGTGAGATTTTTACAGTTTTACAAGTGAAATTTTTGCATTTACAATATGGACTAATTCAATACTTTTTGAAGATTTTAGTAAGCAGTAGTGAATGAAGTAAAGTAGAACTGGATGCATCAATTATATTTTTGGTGAAGTTTTGCATACTTTGATTTTGTAAGTGGTTTTAACGTTTATATGGGGTTTTTTGTTTTCTGGAAGTTTTGCTGCTCTATATTTGGTGAGAAAGGGAATAGATACTTTACAACAAAGGATTTCTGGTAGATTAGCATAGATTTAGAATGATTTTGGTTTTTTTTGTTGCATCTTTGGGGCTTTGGTGTTATTTTTTGTTTTACAGATTTTAAACTTGCTTCATAGTCTTGCTACCATTTTGAAAATCACATGATTTGAGTTCTAGGAGATGAACTGTTGAAAATATCTGTTCATATCTTCAATTGAGCTTTCTGAGTAACTTGAAAAAATTATTAACCTCACTAACGGCAAGTCAAGTGAGGAGAAAGAGAGAACTTTGATGAAGAAAATGTGTTTGCTGTTGTGTCATGCTGACAAGTCCAGTTTCTCACTTCGTCTGATGGAGTAAAAGATCTGTTATCGGTGGAATTGACTTCGTTAGCTCTGCTCTAAGTAAAGAACAATGTGGAATTTAGAGTCTGCACCTTGTCTGTCTGCTGACCAGCTGGGGGTGGCAATACCGTTTTTGATGGAGCTTTTCCTAGCGTCTTTTACAGATGCATTTTCTGTGTGCCATGATACACTTAGAATTAAGGTTTACTGCAGTGCTTGCTATTGCATTGTCTTTCAAGATAGGAAGAACCAACAGATACCAGGTTACAGGTTGTAAAAGCAGTAATTTAG